GTATATTGGTACATAGTAGGTGTTAGCAGCTTTATTACTGTTAGGGCCATCTAAGCGCAGGGGTTTTTCTTCATATTTTGCAGATAACTCAGGATCAGTTTCTTTGGCAGTGCCCTTGTGGGAGGCGCATAAAGCTATGGTGTGGAGCCACATTATACAGCTGGCTGCGGCTCGGAAGCGGGAGCATCGCCTTTCGGAACTTCACTCTCTTCTAGCCTCGGCGGATGCTCGTTTGGAAGTTGCACCTGCCCGCGGTCCATAAATGAACGCGAGTTGCCCTGGCTGCAGAACTGGAACTACTTGTATCTTCAGAGGCTGAACAGGCCTTGCGTTGGACCAAACATAAATTTTGTACTTCCGATCCCAAGTAGATCATCGCGCGCTTCGCGGACTTCCTTTCGCATCTGTATGCTAAACCAGATCCCTTTCCTGTAGCTCAGGCGGAAGCGTTCTTTCAGGATCTACGGCTCCCTGGATTGTCCAAAGCGGCGCAGGTAGCCCTTTATGCAGGTGTTACTGTATCAGCGGAAGTACTTCAAGCTATTAAATCTTTACGGTCCAACGTGGCCCCGGGTCCTGATGGCTTTTCAGGCCTCTATTACAAGAAATTTGCAACCCTGTTGGTGCCTTTTTTGGCTGGTTACTTCAATGAATTACGACAGGGCTCTTTACCCGGACGCTCTCAGAGCGAATATCTCCATGATTCCTAACACAACAGAAAATGTGCAGGAACTGCAAGCCTTTCTACCCATTTCTCTTCTTAATGAAGATTTGAAGATATTGGGCAAGGTTCTCCGTCTTCGTATCAATAGATATTTGCGTAGCCTGGTACACCGGGACCAAGTAGGTTTCATCCCTGGGAGGCAGGCGAGCTACAATGTTCATAAGGTGGTTCACCTTATACACCTTCTACAACAGCGGAACATGCTGGGGTTCTTACTGTCTTTGGACATATAAAGTTCTTGATTCCTTATCTTGGGAATACCTGCGGTTCGTGCTGTCCTGCTGGGGCTTTGGGGATTCTATCCTTTCTTTGATTCAGGCCTTGTATTCTTCCCCTGGATGTTGTGTCGGGTTGAATTTATGGGATGTTGTGTCGTCGGGTTGAACTTATGGGATGTTGTGTCGGGTTGAACTTATGGGATGTTGTGTCGGGTTGAACTTATGTGATGTTGTGTCGGGTTGAACTTATGGGATGTTGTGTCGGGTTGAACTTATGGGATGTTGTGTCGGGTTGAACTTATGGGATGTTGTGTCGGGTTGAACTTATGGGATGTTGTGTCGGGTTGAACTTATGGGATGTTGTGTCGGGTTGAACTTATGGGATGTTGTGTCGGGTTGAACTTATGGGATGTTGTGTCGGGTTGAACTTATGGGATGTTGTGTCGGGTTGAACTTATGGGATGTTGTGTCGGGTTGAACTTATGGGATGTTGTGTCGGGTTGAACTTATGGGATGTTGTCGGGTTGAACTTATGGGATGTTGTGTCGGGTTGAACTTATGGGATGTTGTGTCGGGTTGAACTTATGGGATGTTGTGTCGGGTTGAACTTATGGGATGTGTGTCGGGTTGAACTTATGGGATGTACGGGATGAACTTATGGGATGTGTCAGGTTGAGATTATGGGATGATGTGTCAGGTTGAGGTTACGGGATGATGTGTCAGGTTGAGGTCATGGGATGATGTGTCGGGTTGAGGTTACGGGATGTTGTGCCGGGTTGAGGATGTTGGGTCAGTTTGAGGTAATGAGATGCTGGGTTAGGTTGAGGTTATGGAATGTCATGTCAGGTTGGGGTTATGGAATGTCGTGTCGGGTTGAGGTTTTGGAATGTCGTGTCAGTTGAGGTTACGGGATGATGTGTCAGGTTGAGGTTACGGGATGATGTGTCAGGTTGAGGTCATGGGATGGTGTGTCGGGTTGAGGTTACGGGATGGTGCCGGGTTGAGGATGTTGGGTCAGTTTGAGGTAATGAGATGCTGGGTTAGGTTGAGGTTATGGAATGTCATGTCAGGTTGGGGTTATGGAATGTCGTGTCGGTTGAGGTTTTGGAATGTCGTGTCAGGTTGAGGTTTTGGAATGTCGTGTCAGGTTGAGGTTATGGAATGTCGTGTCAGGTTGAGGTTATGGAATGGGTTGAGGTTATGGAATGTAATTTTGGGTTGAGGTTATGGAATGTCGTGTCGGGTTGAGTTTATGGAATATCGTGTCAGGTTGAGGTTATGGAATGTCATTTTGGGTTGAGTTTATGGAATGTCGAGTCGGGTTGAGGATATGAGATGTTGCGTGGGTTTTGAGGTTATAGGATGTTGTGTCAATTTGAGGATGTTTGGGTCGAGTTGAGGTTGAGATGTTATATCACCTATCTTTGTGATAACTACATACAGTGTGTGTTCCTGTGAATAGTATGTGTTTTTTTACTTATAATTTATTTTGTTGTTCACAATGTTACTTTGTAATTTGTAGAAAAAAGCATCTCAGGGCTGTACAGACAAGACACCGAAAGGGGCCTGTTTAAAAATGCTTACACTATTCACACAACTTTCACCCAGGAGTCACATATTTTCCTAATTTATTCCAATTAGAAAAATGTGTGAATCTTCGTGAAAGTTTTGTGAATAGTGTCTGGAAACGTTTATGAATAGGGCTGTGGGATGCTCATTTTTTGAGTGGTGTTTGACTTAGTACTTGTTATCCTGATATGTACCATCTTTTGCACTCCATCAGAAAAAATAAATTGGAGTTTTGGATTTGTATTTTAGTGGGGTAACCTCCCTTTCTTTGATTCTGTTGAGACAAAATTATTTGACACCTGTTTGATGCATGCACACATTTGGATTTTTGCCTGTCCACACATCGCTCATTTGATATAAATAAAATTACAGAATCACTATACAGACCCCACAATCCGCTTGGCTGGCTTTTATCTGGGTTGGAAAGGTGCCCATGATCCAGGCTGCAGACTCTTAGGAGAGCCACGCCTCCCAGATGTGATATTACTCTGGTGACCCGTCCTCTCCCCACAGCTGTCGGAGGAGCAGCATATCGTGTGGACTAAGAGGCTTGGCAGGAAAATGCATTTGATGAACTTTGTCTGATAAATTTACAAAACGACAACATTTCTGTTTTTAATTCTGGATCAAGTGGGGAGGGATTAGAATGTCTGTCAGGTTTTCATTGGTGTCAGTTTCCCCGCTGGGGAGATACACCCTCTCTGTTTGTCCGGGTGACCAGAATCACACTTCCTATTAGCTGTGAGTTTGTTGCTGTGAGTTAATGTGTATTGACTGAAACAAAGAAAAGGTCCAAATATTGCATATCGATAAAAGTCCGGGTATAGACAAGTAAAAAGTGGCTTTGGCCCAGCTCTATCATGGCCACACCTACTGACGCGTTTCGGCCCACCCAATATATGTACATTGAAATTCATTTTTTAAACATGTTGCATTGGGGTTTTTTTTTTTTTATTTTTATTTTTTTACTCAAAAGAAGCCAAAAATACAATATTTTTATTTTTTTTCCTTAATGAGTGCTTCCGCCACTGTGATGCATTGTAGTGAGTTCCAGCACAGACCATTGCTTTCACACAGAAAGCAAGGCTCCTTCTCTTCACCATGCTGGCAGGGGACAGGCTTTTCTGCTCTGGCTGTGGCTGCTTCCAAAGAGTGAACTGCAAGATTTTACACACCTTTTTTGTTTTGATGCACCTGAAATGCATTTAGCTGAATAAAGTCTCTTGCACACAATACCAATGTTTGAGCATCTGCTTTTTTAAATGTTATTTCAGGTGCTTGTTTGCTTGTATTTGCGTGTATTTATGCGCATATTTGTGCACATGCATACATAGGCTCGTATTTGCGTGCAATTGCACAGTCACGCATGTGCGCACACAATTCATTAATATTTATGCTCATATGCGCTGCTTCAAGCACATTTGCGCAAATTTGCATGCATTTGTGTACACACAGCGTAAATTACTGACCAAAAATGCTGGTTTTGCTTTTTGCTTTTTTTTTTGTTCTTTACTGAGGAATACGTACCATATGTGCCTGTGTACTAAGGCACATTGTAAATAATGGGCTACATTTTACCTCGGTAAAAAAAAACCCCCACTGTACTGAGATTTTTCAAGCTGCAGTGCGCAAGAGGCCTAAAACTGAAAGTTTGGTTGGGAATTCATTTATGTAAGGTATTATATATTACCAGATATTACCAAAATGAAAATTTTTCCTTAAAATGGATGCATAGTGTTTATACCGAATTCTTTCAATTATCATATTATACTGGGTAGTTTGTTTTTTATACATATAGTGTGTGTGTGACACTACAATGCCAGAAGTATTAGGACGCCTGCCTTTACACGCACATGAACTTTAATGGCATCCCAGTCTTAGTCCGTAGGGTTCAATATTGCGTTGGCCCGCCCTTTGCAGCTATAACGGCTTCAACTCTCCTGGGAAGGCCGTCCACAAGATTTAGGAGGGTGTCTATGGGAAGGCTTGACCATTCTTCCAGAAGGGCATTTGTGAGGTCAGGCACTGATGTCGGACGAGAAGGCCTGGCTCGCAGTCTCCACTCTAACTCATCCCAAAGGTGTTCTATCGGGTTGAGGTCAGGACTATGTGCAGGCCAGTCAAGTTTCTCTACCCCAAACTCGCTCATCCATGTCTTTATGGACCTTGCTTTGTGCACTGGTGTATAGTCATGTTGGAACCGGAAGGGGCCATCCCCAAACTGTCCCACAAAGTTGGCAGCATGAAATTGTCTGAAATGTCTTGGTATGCTGACACCTTAAGAGTTCCATTCACTGGAACTTAGGGGCCAAGCCCAACCCCTGAAAAACAACCCCACATTATAATCCCCCCTCCAACAAAATTTACACTTGGCACAATGCAGTCAGTCAAGTACCGTTCTCCTGGCAACCACCAAACCCAGACACGTCCATCGGATTGCCAGACAGAGAAGCATGATTGGTCACTACAGAGAACATGTCTCCACTGCTCTAGAGTCCAGTGGTGGCGTGCTTTAAACCACCATCCGACGCTTTGCATTGCACTTGGTGATATAAGGTTTGGATGCAGCTGCTCGGCCATGGAAACCCATTCTATGAAGCTCGCTACACACTGTTGTGATAATCTGAAGGCCACATGAAGTTTGGAGGTCTTAGCTATTGACTCTGCAGACAGTTGGTGACTTCTGTGCACTGTGCTCTTGAGCAAGTGCTGACCCCGCTCTGTCATTTTACGTGGCCTACCCCTTCGTGGCTGAGTTGCTGTTGTTCCCAGTTGCTTCCACTTTGTTATAATCCCACTAACAGTTGACTGTGGAATATTTAGTAGCCAGGAAATGTCACGGATGGACTTATTGCACAGGTGGCAACCTATCACAGGACCACGCTTGGAGTCACTGAGCTCCTGAGAGCGACCCATTCTTTCACAAATGTTTGTAGAAGTAGTCTGCATGCCTAGGGGCTTGATTTTATATACCTGTTGCCATGAAGGTGATGAGAACACCTGAATCCAATGATTTGGAGGGCAGGGACTATATATATATATATATATATATATATATATATATATATATATATATAATGTATGTGTTTCCTCCCACACTCCAAAGACATGCTGGTAGGTGAATTGATTCCTATCCAAATTGGCCCTAGTATGTGTATGTATGAATGTGAGTTAGTGACCTTAGATTGTATGCCCCTTGAGGGTTATGGACTGACGTGAATGTACTATATATATATATATATATATATATATATATATATATATATATATATATATATATATATATATATATATATATAGCACTGCGTGAAATTGACAGCGCTATATAAGTACCTGAAATAAAAAAAAAAAAATGTGTGTATATATATATATATATATGTGTGTGTGTGTGTGTATGTATGTGTATATATATATATATATATATATATATATATATATATATATGTGTGTACTTTTTAATTTTTTTTTCATGTTATACTGAGTAATATATTTTCATGTTATGCTGGGTAGTTTTTTTTTATTTTATATATATATATATATATTTCATATATTATTTTTGGGTTGCCATTTTTTTTACTACAACAAATGCAGAGCTAGTGCTGGGCTTTCTTATTCAAAAGCCCAGCATGCAACAATTGTTCAGCTGATGCCTGGACTATATATATAGATAAGTGGCTGAAAGGGGGCTGCATATTGACAGTATGGGGGAAAAAAAAAAAATGATGTGTTTTGCTGCTGAGCTGTGATTAGAGATGTAGATAGCAGGGTATCCCATTACACACAACTGAGTGAGTCAGCTGATACAAATGATAGATAGGGAGAATATTTTCTGTTTAAACATAGCACCATTCCATTGCAAGGTTTTGTATTTTTCTAGGTCCCAGTGTTTATGAACTGGGTTTAACCCTTCCTTTGGCTGTAACTGGTCTCTGACCGATGACGCTGGACAGGAAAATGCGTCCTCCAGAGTTCTCCCTCCTATTTCCTTCCTCGAATCGGTCCAACAACCTAACCCACCCGGGATCTGTTCATAGCTGTAGGCTTAGCACAAGCACTCCGTGATCAGTAGATGTTTCACAATGACCTGTATGTGTGTTGTAAAATGAATGAAGAGTGCCTGATCCACTCCTATGTATGCATTAGTGTGCATGTACAGAAAGGACTTGCAGTTGTGGATGTACTTGTTTAGACTTGCAGTTTTGGGGAGGGGGGGCGTTAAAAGCATGCAGTTGAAATGCCATTGCGGTGCTTTGTATCGCTTCGACCCATTCAGGGTGATTGTGCATTGGTGCTGCAATTATTGGGTATACCAGGCGGTGAGGAGAAGTGAGGCACTTCATGACAAAGTGTAACTAATATCAGAGGGGCACACAGAAGAGTAGAAGAAGAAACATTCCCTATTATTAAAAATGCCCCTACTTATTCTGCCTAATCTGACTGAAAAAGATGTGTATACTTATTCCGCTCTGGTTCAGTCATGTGATTCTGCAGCTTTGGCTCCCCTGTGTCAGTGAGGAGCTGCTGCAGGGGAGAAGAGGGAGCACCAACAATGGCTGGGCTATGAGAACCTATGGGTGACGGCACTGCTTCCAGAATTCCAAGCCATTGTCAAGCGTTCCCTGAGCCGGAGCTGTGGGATCATGAGACCAGACCGGAGAGGATTAAAAATAGGTAAGTATTCAGAATTTGTCATACAGGTTAGGCAGTGTGTGTGTGTGTGTTTGGGGGGGTGGCATTTTTAATAATAGGTGGAGCTAGGCTTTCTTCCAACTAAATTAGCCTCAATCACCTTAACAAATGTAGCCCTCTTGTGGGGTGGGGGGTATTTTAACCACTTCCAGTCCGGCCCGATTCTGACATTCCCCCTCCCACATGTGTAAAAAAAAAAAAAAAAAACCCATAATTTTTTAAAATAGAAAACTACTTAGAACCCCCAAACATATATATATATTTTTAAGCAGAGGTCCTAGGGAATAAAATGGTGGGCGATGCATATTTTTGTCACATGATATTTGCGCAGCTGTTATTCAAACACAAAATACACTTTCATTTTAATGCACAAAACCACAATATAATTCCCAATTTGGTAAAATATGTTATGCCGAGTAAATAGATACCAAACATGTCACTTTCGAAAATTTGCGTCTGCCCGTAGAACAATCCCTAAAAAATATTTGTAGGTGATGCTTTAACAGGCTTTACAGGTTACCTGTTTGGAGTTACACAGGAGGTCTGGAAATAAAATAATTTCCCTCGATTTGATGTTCGTGGCGATACCTCACATACGTGGTGCGATCACTGTTTACATATGCACGCGAGACTGACGTGCGTATTTGCATTTGCTCATGTGCATGGGGAAAGGGGGGGTGCTTTGAATGTTTTTATTATTTATTTCTGACACTCTTTGAGTTGTTTCTAATCTCTTTTATTGCTATCAGAAGGTATGAGCAACAAGGGCCATAGGACGCGACAGGTCCTCTTTATGGAGAGATCTGGGATCTATTAGATTTTAGGTCTTTCTTCTAGCCTGACAAACCAAGCATTGGTTTGATCAAATGCTTGTTCAAGACGGTAATGGTGGGCATATATATATTTATTAGTAGAGATACCTCTATATGAATGGTGCAGCAAAATCAATTTGCAGGGCCCCCAATGATGATCGTGATGCAATGTCTGTCTATGTGTCAGAGACCTGAAGATCAGAGGTGTCCAACCAGCCTGGAATGCAGATTCTCACCGGAAAGAACTGTGGTTTTGCACTGGAACTCAGTCAGTTAATTTTTAATCTGTCATGCAGAGGAATTAATAAGACTTTGGACCCCTAAGACTTGTTTGGCGCTCATTTTGGCTCAGCTGTATGTGATGCGGATAGGCCACGTGTATTTGTCCTGTATAGCACATGTATGTTTCATTGTGCTCCTCCTTCTTTTACATGTCCTGTATGACTTTCAGAATATTATTATACTTAGTATTGTGTTTTTCTGTCTCTTGCAGGGATGGAGGAGGGCTCAGTAGTCCGTGCAATGTTTGACTTCTCCCCCAGTGTGGCCGAGGAACTGACACTCTTTGCCGGGGATGTCATTGAAATTCTCAGCGTGATAGATGAGTTTTGGCTGCTGGGGAATAAAGACGGGATCACAGGTAATCGTCACAATAATGTATTTATACTAAGATAATAAAGTCTGTCTTCAGAGTGTTTTACGTGTATGGCTTTTATGGGTTATTACTGGTCTTTGTTGCATCCTGTGGAAAAGGTGTTTTTTTTTTTTTTTTTTTTTTTTTTTTTTTAACAAATACCAATGGATTTATTTAAAGATGAACTCGGAGATAAGCAAATAATGTCTCCATAACCGATCTGTACAGCCACCCAGCATGAAACTATGCCTGTGTGCAGGAGCCTTCTGTAATAAAGACCGGTCACTGCTGCTCTTTCTCCTTGTGCTGGATGACTGGTCTTGTATCCACCTCCTTCTGTAGTTTCTGCAGGCAGCCTGTAGTGGGTGGAGCCAATGGGTCCCTCCCACAGCTCTCCTCTCTGCACAGGCTATGTACAACACAGTGATGATGTCACTGCTATTTTTTTTAAGGTATTACCAGGGTTTGCAAAGGTGTTTGGTGCACACAGAGTGGTTTTATGTCCTTTGTGGCTATTGGAAAATATATGTAAATGAAAGCTTTTGTGCCTAAAGTTCAGCTAAAAAAAACCAAGGCTGTTATCCAGGTATGAAGTGTAGGCTTCTAACACCGTTTACTAGGCTTCCGTTGTGAATGAACACAGTGAGTGATCGGTACCAATCGCACATTGTGTTCATTCAGAAAAGAAAGGGCTGGTAAATGTGACAGACTTACTGGACCCTTCCTCCACAATCCGTCCTGAAGGATCCTTTTGTGTGCTTGCAGCTGGCGGTGGGAAGGAGAGGAGGGTAGCTGGCAGCACTGTGGGGGTGGGGGCACACAGGGGGGGCCTGGGCAGCAGGGGAAAATGCATGGTGCACAGGGAGGGTGATGGGTGCAGCAGGGGGCAATTACTGGAACTGTTCTCCTGTATGGCTCTTTTCTGCAGCAGCTGAAATCCAGCGGGAGGGGGAGGAGAAGAAGCCAGCTTTCAGCGAGAGCCATACGGGGGATCAATTCCAGCAATTGGGGCCCCCTGCTGTGCTGATCTCCCTCCCTGCCCACATCCGATTCACCCAGCTGCCTTGGCCCCGCTGCTGGCCTGGGCCCCATACAGGAGGACTGGTGGTACCCCCTTATCCACAGCCCTGGCCATACTTGAGCAGTGTTTGAGTACTCTGCTTGGACTGAGAAGAAGGCAAAACCCCAAAAGCTTGTCCAGAAAATGTCACTTTCATTATTAAGAGCTGATTCACATACAGTTGTGTTCAAAATAATAGCAGTCAGACATCACTAACCGGATCAATCACTGTTTTTGGTAGAAATGATATTTCTACATGGCAAATAATTTACTAGCAGGTGTAGTAGAGTAAAAGAAATCCAACAGACCCAACAGTCATGACATGCATGCTGCTGATTCTGTGTAATTGAATCACTAATTGAAAGGGGCATGTTCATAATAATAGCAGTGTGGAGTTCTATTAGTGAGGTCATTCATTCTTTGAAAAACAGGTGGCAATTATTGTCCTTATTTAAGGAAGGAAGGCAGCAAATGTTGTACATGCTGGTTACAGTGCATTTCTCTCTGAAATTCTGAGGAAAATGGGTCGTTCCAGACATTGTTCAGAAGAACAGCGTACCTTGATTAAAAAGTTGATTGGAGAGGGGAAAACATATAAAGAAGTGCAGAAAATGATCGGCTGCTCAGCTAAAATGATCGCAAATGCTTTAAAATGGCA